GGCGAACGAGAGGCTTCGGTTGGGGCGGGTGCAGGTGGTCAAATGGGAACCAGGGGACAGGGCGTGGTTGCACTGTCCTCAGGTGCCGCTGGCAACCTCGTCGAAATTGGTACGGCCGTGGCGGGGGCCAGTGGAGGTCGTGCAGGTTTTGCGGCCGCAATGTGTTCGCGTCAAATGGGGGAGGCGCCGGTGGTATGTGCACCCCTCAAGGTTAAAACCATTTGTCGCGCCGCCCCGTGGTTCACACACACACACGCATGGCCAAACGTGTGAGGGTGTCGCCGACTCCCCGTCATCGCTGCACTCGCCTAACCAGACGCCAACTGTTCCGTCCCCAGGTGAAACAGGAGTGACGGGTCCACACCCACCAACCCCTCCCGAAGGGGTCGGGGGTCACTCGGCAGCGACGCCTGACTCTCTTGCACCCGGACCGTCAACAACCGGCACTGAGCGTGCCAGGACGGGCCCTTGTGACGGGCCCGCCGCGCGGACGCGCGCCAAAACGCGCAGACTATTGTGAGGTCGGCCGTTGGGGGGCCTTGCGGACAATGGGAGGGGTGGCGTCCGGAGTGTGTGTATATATGTTGGTTTTGGGGTAATTATTCGGGGGGGGTGCGTCGGGTTATTTTTTTTTCTCTCTCTCTCTCTCTCTTCCTGTTGTTGTTCTTGTTAAGGTTCTCTTGTTCTTGTTAAAAATTATGCGAGGCACACACACGGGGTTTTTGTGAGGGATGCACCTTTATTCTGATTTTTTTTTGGTTTTTTTTGCAGCCAGGGACGGCTGCGAGCTGTACAGGGGGGGGTGATGTAGAGGTGTAATTGCGCATGGCTACGAATGTTGAGGTGTGATTATGCATGGCCACGGATGGCCAACAAACACAAGGGGCGGGGTTACGGCCGTACACAAGGGTGGCGCTAGCACCGACGTCCGCATGTGTATCCCCCACGGGCCCCCCCTCGGGGGCGAGTCCTATAAAAGGTGATGAGCTCGAGGGCTCGAGGTCGGGACTCAGCTTTAACCAGAGAAGACGGAAGACCAGCTAGTGTAGGCCCCAGAGCTCCCCTGGCTCGCTGTCCTTATAAGGGCCGACCAGGGCAAGCCGGTGGCGTGGCCCCGAGAGCCCAGACGAAGCTGGTCTGGTGACTCAGGGAGCCGGAATCCCAGCTTAACCAAGCTGGGACAGATAGCCTCCCCTAGTCCCGTAGTGGAGGAATTGGTATAGGTTAAAGGGGTTAGATGTCGAGAATCCCTGTAGCCCAGTGACCTGTACAACTGTGTTGGTGTAATAAATAAGTGTGCCTCCGATCCTGTCGTCAAGCCTCCATATATACTTACTACACCTGTATAAAAGACACCTGTTCACAGAAGCAATCAATCAATCAGATTCCAAACTCTCCACCATGGCCAAGACCAAAGAGCTCTCCAAGGATGTCAGGGACAAGATTGTAGACCTACACAAGGCTTGAATGGGCTACAAGACCATCGCCAAGCAGCTTGGTAAGAAGGTGACAACAGTTGGTGCGATTATTCGCAAATGGAAGAAACACAAAAGAACTGTCAATCTCCCTCGGCCTGGGGCTCCATGCAAGATCTCACCACGTGGAGTTGCACTGATCATGAGAACGGTGAAGAATCAGCCCAGAACTACACGGGAGGATCTTGTCAATGATCTCAAGGCAGCTGGGACCATAGTCACCAAGAAAACAGTTGGTAACACACTACGCCGTGAAGGACTGAAATCCTGCAGTGCCCGCAAGGTCCTCCTGCTCAAGAAAGCACATATACATGCCCGTCTGAAGTTTTCCAATGAACATCTGAATGATTCAGAGTACAACTGGGTGAAAGTGTTGTGGTCAGATGAGACCAAAATGGAGCTATTTTGGCATCAACTCAACTCGCCGTGTTTGGAGGGGGAGGAATGCTGCCTATGGCCCCAAGAACACCATCCCCACCATCAAACATGGAGGTGGAAACATTATGCTTTGGGGGTGTTTTTCTGATAAAGGGACAGGACAACTTCACCGCATCAAAGGGACGATGGACGGGGCCATGTACCGTCAAATCTTGGGTGAGAACCTCCTTCCCTCAGCCAGGGCATTGAAAATGGGTCGTGGATGGGTATTCCAGCATGACAATGACCCAAAACACACGGCCAAGGCAACAAAGGAGTGGCTCAAGAAGAAGCACATTAAGGTCCTGGAGTGGCCTAGCCAGTCTCCAGACCTTAATCCCATAGAAAATCTGTGGATGGAGCTGAAGGTTCGAGTTGCCAAACGTCAGCCTCGAAACCTTAATGCCTTGGAGAAGATCTGCAAAGAGGAGTGGGACAAAATCCCTCCTGAGATGTGTGCAAACCTGGTGGACAACTACAAGAAACGTCTGACCTCTGTGATTGCCAACAAGGGTTTTGCCACTAAGTACTAAGTCATGTTTTGCAGAGGGATCAAATACTTATTTCCCTCATTAAAATGCAAATCAATGTATAACATTTTGACATGCGTTTTTCTGGATTTTTTTGTTATTCTGTCTCTCACTGTTCAAATAAACCTACCATTAAAATTATAGACTGGTAATTTCTTTGTCAGTGGGCAAACGTACAAAATCATCAGGGGATCAAATACTTTTTTCCCTCACTGTAACAATATATCATATTACCAAAGGTAACTTTTTAATACCATGATGTTTAAGAATGTTCATATGCATGGTTGGCATTTGAACGCTTCAACTTTCCAGGCACCAGGGTTTGTTAATTCACAGAGTGAAAAGGCAAGGGGCATACTTGTCTCTCTGCCCTGGATTTGCCCTTGGGTGAGCAGCGAGTTTATGGTGTTTTGCCATGGGTCCACCCTTGCGTATATTCTCTCTCATGAAATTTCCTGGGTCACTCCCTGCCCATGCAAGAGTGATTCCTTTATGGCCTGTCATGAACTACTTCCTCCTTCGCTACACGAGTTCGGTTAATTCCCGGAAAGCAAAATGTACTGCGTCTTCTAGGCCCTCCATCGATGTCTAATTTATTATGATTACCCACTTCTCATTCTAATGCTGTTGTGGCTTCGCCATCTGGTTTTCCCGACTTCTGGCATGCAGTGAACGCATATTTGTCTGTCAGGAACTGCGACATTCAAAATAGACAAAACATTAAAAACAATTATAACAGGCATACAGTCCATCTAGGGCTGAACGTTTTGGGGAAAATATCTAATTGCGATTTTTCTGACATGTTGCGATTGCGATTTGATTTGCGATTAATTTGTTTAAGTCAAGCTTCAGTTCAATGTTCACTGTGTTAATAAATTTGTAAACATGTGATGGAGCATTACCACATGATACCATCTACTTTTAACTGCTCTAATGCAAGGATGAGAACTTAAAATATATGAATTGCTTTTAACATGTATTTATTAAAATGTTTTTAATCAAATAGAACAAGCAAACATAGAACAATTGCTAAGTTAAATAAATAAAGTTATTATAATAAAAAAATCAAACAATTTCAATCAGAAAGTAAAAGGACTTTTCAAATCGCCAAAAATTGCGGCCTTTGAGATTTGCTAATCGCATTGTTTCAAATTGCGATTTCGATTTGAAATCGATTCATCGTTCAGCTCTAAGTCGACCCTTTCACGTCGCAGGGGTTAGGTGCGCAGCCCCCCCGCGATCTGGAAAAAAACGCGTTAAATGTTTTGGTCCCCTTGGCGAACGACGCGAGCACCTCCAGCCGGGGGGTTCGGGGGAGGGGCTGTGAGATATCACGCGAGAGGCTGCCGTAAACAAGCTTGGCATCCTCCAAACCAACGCGCAAACTAACTTTTCACAAAATTTTACTTAAACAAAAATTGTGTATATTTATGGTTTTAAACAATACATATGTAATATCTCAATAATGGCGGGAGACGAGTTGACGGGGCAGCACTTATTTATTAACACTGGTGCAACAGTAACAGGCACAGCCGAGATAACGCCTACGCTACGCGTGCCTAACTCGGCCACGCACTCAGGCTCTCCGGCTACGCTCTCCCCACGGAGAGCTATCGGACCCGCCTTGCCAGGGCACAGGTCTCGACCACTGGGTTACACAGCCCGGCCCTTACAAGGACGTCGGGCCGTGAATCCCAAGGCCTCGCCTCTGAGCCTCACAGAGTCCCGGCCCTTACAAGGGCAGCGGGGCTAGGGGTCTCAGGGCCTTATCTCTTCCTCCGTCTTCTGTCTTCACTGGTTAACGACTCCCCGAGTGCTGCCGCACATTGCCTTACATAGCCCTCCGCTCCAGGGGGCGGGGCCTATGCGGACCGCGATGTGGACACCCGCCTGCGGACCGTGATGTAGCCACCCACCACAAGCTGTCTCACGATCCTCCCCGCCAGCACGTACCACCACTACACATACAATGATAGTATGTGATGCATTTGTGCGTTACTAAACTCTTTGTGTGTCATTTGCTGGACTTCGCATGTCGTCTGCGGTTTTCGCAAAACACCCAAAAACTCCCCAAAATTATTCCCATTTTATTTCTTATGCCGACCCCGCGATATATCGAAACCGCGATGGGGAAAGTCGCGATGCATAAAGGTCGACTGTATATACAATAAGGAGCCAGGGTGAGCTGGCTTTGTTGCTCATATAGACACGCAGTGAACTATTGATCACCATCGTCCATATCACCAGGATTGTTTTCAGGCAAGGAATGGTCCTTGTGAGCTTCCACATTAAGTCCTTAATCCAGGCTGTGTTATAGGCCGATGAGAAGTCCACACATCCCGCTTGTTCTCCAGGGATCACTGACTCGACGAGGGAGCTGATCCTCTGGAGGATGATGTTCAGATTAACTTATAATTAGATGCTGTATCAATGTGTATGTTGTTGTAATAACCTTTAAATGAAAGTCTATGTGAGTCAGTAAACTCATGCATAGTTCACAGTTATCTGAAACTGTGGTTGCTTTGTAGTGGACTTTGAAAATAAGTAATCACGTGTTTGGTTTGTTTATATTTTCAAGCTGGACACAATGCAACTCCACCGCACCCTCGCACTTGTCTGTCTATAAAGAGGGTCAGGAAGAGAGTTCCAGCCTCCTTTGTGCTCTGAGCAAGCGAAAGGTGAGTCCATGAGATGGTCAACTCTGGCACTTGCATTGTGAAGATTTAGGTTGCTTTTAGCATCACGACTGGAATGTCTCTGTCATGTAAATGGCATGTTTAATTATGCAATTGTAGTAAACAAATAATTGAAATCATATTCTTCGGGTCTTTCTGTAACGTCATGTAGAATAGTCCAAAGACAATTACAAAGAATAAAAAAAAAACTACGACATTTTGATCGCAACACACGCGGTCGTCACCAGGAAAAGGGGGTTAGCTTCTAAAGACAATTGTTTATAAAGGTTTGAAATGGGCATAGCCCAAATGTCAGCAGCCAATGTTAATGTAAGTGGTGGGCAGTGACTGCGGCGTTGGCGGGTTTTCCACCAATCATTGGTGCTGGCCATTATATTCATGAATTGATATTTGTTTTCGTTGTAAAGCATTTTATGCATATAATAATTGCTATTCACAGCTTCAAAATGGATTACGCATTCGAAAAAAAAACACTTAATACAGAATTAAGGAGATTGCAGTCAAAACATATAACTGTTCATATGATACTGTAGTTTTGATGAGCTTAAATGCAGACGTACACATTTTTTCATTCAAAGAAGAGTATACCATTCTATGCCAGCACGCGGATAGCAAGTTACAGAAAAGTTGGTTACACTTTTGGTGCTGTCATTAACCAACCTAAACATCAGCTCACCACCTGTATGAGGCAAGGACTAAAGGCCCGTGCTCTTAAGTCCAGTACCACAAGTAACGGCACATGCATAATAACCGTCATGGTTGGCCATGTGATGGTAATCAATGTATACAAGCCCCCGAAAAAAAAAATGGCCATCACCACTTCAGCAGCCACTACAATTAATAATGTACTGAATAATAGATTATCACCTAGGGATAATGTAATGTACAATATCACATAGGGATGATGTAATGTACAATATCACATTGGGATAATGTAATGTGATGTCGAACACATTTTCCCTATGCGATCGATTGACCCCAGTGTGATTGTAGCTTTGAGAAGTGCCTAAGACCACCCTACTCTCGCACAGGGGCACACAGTGTGTGCACACAGTGTGTCCGTGTATGGCCTTAGCTCACTCTGGCACAAAGAGCATTGGCTTTCAGATCAAGATGTCATCACGGTCAAAGCTCTTGATACCACCACACCTTAGCACCACCACTTTTAACCTCTACCAGATCCTGCAATTGCACAGTAGACACACGATCTCTAAGACCAGACCTAATAGTATTCCCCCACCTGTCAACTCCAAGCGCCGCACCAGTTTTTTCTATACATGACGTTGGCCCCACCCCAGTACACCCCTTACTATCACCTCTAGGGGCCGGTGTAGCATTGGATAAAGACCGACTTTTATCAACATTTGCATTGGGAAATGACATGCAGCCAAAAACGTTCTCAATTGGAAAGTAGTTTTTTGAGGAAAAGAGTTTCGGGCCAAGTGGCATGAGAACCACGTGTGGAGCTTGAGCACAGGAGCTGGGCAGGATTGATCCATTAGCTATGGTGCCATGGTTTAAGTGCTGCTTGTTATAGCACGGTAAGTTAAAACACTTTCCATTAGTCTCCTAAATAAATTGGGCCCGTTGCATGAATGAATTTCGTACTGTTATATTCCAAATTTCAACATGCAACGGCTTAATCAATTGTTTATATTTAATTTGTATTATTAAAAGCGTAGATAAGCATGGTAGGTATAAGGGAATACTTTATTTAATATTCATGTTCTTCATTTAATATTTCTCACAGATGTTTGACATTAAAATAAGTGATGAACTTTGGTTATTCGTCTAAATATTTGTTATGCTATGATTAAACACAACATTCAATATTCAACTGAATTATACATTGATTTGTATTATTGTTAAATGTTGTATTACTAATTAAGGACGGTGTCTATGTGTGTATTCAAGGCTATGTCTGAAGAGGAGGAACACGACATAAAAGCTGTGGATGAGCTTGCCAAAGTACTTAGAGACTTAGGTCTTAATACAACTTTTTGGATTCCAAAACTACGAAATATTTTGGATATCACCAATGTAAAAGCATTGCAATATTTTGGCCCTGAGGAATTTGAAATCATAGAACCACATTGCCGGCATTCATGGGAGAAAAAGGCATTGTGTAAGTTAGTGGAAATGTCGGGCAATGAAGTTGTTTTAAAACAATCACAACAATGTGAGCCAATTGGAAATAAACAGAAGCAAGATGCACCAACAAAGCAGCATCCGGAACAAATCCATCAGAAAAGATTAATTCACAGTGGTGAGGCCAACGTAGAGACTGAGACAGAGCAGCAAATGGAATTGAAAAGAGCAAAAGAACCCCCATTGTGGGATGGCAGCCATTCCAATGATATGGCAAACACTTCTCTAAAGCAGTTAAATTTAGCAGACATTTCAACTTTACGTGGGACTATTTCACGTCTAAGTCTTTTACAAAATGCATCTAAAGGACTTGCTTTGGAGGGGGTGTATCGAACTGGTCAAATAAAGGATAGGCTAAAGAAAAGAGGCAAACTCTTAAACATCCCAATGTCGTTTGATCTTGCTGGGCCAGTACATCAGCCGATGATAAATAAACAAGAGTTTTCATCATCTGAAGAGGAAAACATATTTGAGACAGCAGTGGAAATAATGGGATTCAATACCATAACGACAGAAGAAGGTTTCCTACTGGCCTTGAATGAAGAAATCAACTCGCGGCATAGCAAGGCATTACACAATGAAAAAAAGCAACAAGAAAATCTCACGGATACCTGCATTCATAGCGCCAAATACCTGTACCTACCACTTGCCTCAGGAAGTCTTGACTTTAATCAACTCAAGCTCTCTGATGAGGCGTTGGAGGAATTACAAAGCGTTGAAAACACTTTAAAAACCGCGAAGGATTCTTTTAAAACGCATGTGCTAAGAAACAGGTTAAGAAGTTTTTTTGAGAAATTTGGCTCTCATGCCCATACAGGTCCTGTCCACTTTGGTGGGATTTTTAAGTGGAAAGCATCAGCAGAGGGAATCAGCTCCGATGAGAAAAAGGAAGACAGAAATATGCTATCGGAGGCAGTGGAAAGGTATTCCACTTCTGCCTACAACATCAGTGGCAGTGCAGGTGGTGTGAGCATGATGGCATCCGAATTTACCACGGAATTTTCTGAAAAATACAATGCTCCACTTCTTAACAAGGTGACATTTTTCGTAGGTACAATAGGTGGACCACCTGGCATTTGTTCTCTTCAACAATGGAAAACCGACATTGTATCCAACACCAAGACGTGGTCTGTCATTGATCTAGGCACATCATTGGTTCCAGTGTGGGACATTGTCAAGTTTAACCACAAGGATGATTTTCAAAATACCTTGATAGCTAGCAGGCTCAAGGAGGCATACACACTTTTGACAAACCAAAATCCAAATTTTTGTCTAGAGGATATATTGGTCTCTGCTAATTCTAAAGCCAGGTCAGTGATGCAAGATATTAAACATTGGCAAGAATCCGACATGGAAAATAATTTAAAAAAGATACTTGATTTGAAAAAAACGTTATATGATGAAACTAAAAGCAATTTAACTTGGATAAACACCTGTTTATCTCACCCAGCCCTCCAATCATTTTTGTCAAATCTTGTTACAGCACCTACCAAAACGGTGAAAATCACAAAGCTTATGCGGTCTATTATGGAGCCAAACAGCTGTGACGTTGACAATTATCCACAATTCGCCTCCAGTATGCAGTGGCTGAATGAGTCTGAAGGAGTCCCTACTCAATTATCTGACTTTAAAGATCTCGTGAACATCTTAACAACAGCAGAAGATAATTTAAAAATTGACTTTTCACCAACTTATTCAAAAAAACATGAAAAAAGAAACAAAGAAATCACACATGCATTTAATTCATTCTGTCAATCACTGAGAACAACAAAACTCATCGAACAAGAGCTACTCGTAATTTCAGTTGCTTCTGCTGTTGGCTACTGTGTAAAAGAAAGACGATTTCAGCATCCCCTGGATTACGACAACATTGATCATCTTCAACGTGCACTAGAGTCAGCTTACAGAGAGTACTCAAGACTAATGCAACAAGACAAATCCAGAGCTCAGGCATACGTGTTACGGACAGGATTGTCTAATGCACGGACTCTTGTCGAAAAGCGAAAACAGTTCGATTTCATGAGATCCCAGGTCGAAGAAACAATGTGTGCTGAAGTTTCCCATGTGATTAAATGCAGTGAAATAGGGCCAACTGACTGGAATAAACTTGATATGATGCTGGAATCCATTATCGCTGGAACTTTCATAGAACAAACATGTAGTTCAAATAAAGAATGTACGATACGAAATACAGGAATAATTTCCCAGGGGGGATGGAAAGAGGACACATATTCAAGGCAAGAAGAATTACAAAATAAACCATCTATTCAACCACGAAGAAATAATGATGATGAAAGTTCATGAATCTGCTTGAAAGACTCTCACTGATAAAATACTACCCCAAGGAATTACACACAAGTGATGTATGTGTTATCAACAGGTCTCCAATTCAAACTAACCCTGATCGATGCACAGCACAAGAACTTTCTCTTTATTATCTGCAAAAACTGATGATGATTGACTATCGAGCAAGATGTGTTAGTTTTCAGTGTGAAAATCAAAACCAAGGCAAATTAAACAACTTATCTCAGTCCACAAATACAAATAAAAGCCCTAATAGTGATAGCTTCTTTTCTGATGATAATGACGTAATAAATAACAGCGATGGGCCTAGGACAAACACTGAAACCCACATTCACCCTATGGACTTACAAATGACAATTTTCCATTGTGGAGACAATTTTGTAAGGCAGTACATTTACACCAAACTTTCATTCATCCAGTTCGCACTTCCGCTTTTAGTTCCAAATCCTTGTCGTTCAGAAATAGAATTCCCTATATGGTCATTCAGACAGATTAAAAAGAGCTGGAAATACCGTGATGCATCTACCAAAAAAGTGCAATCTAAAAACTGTGCAATCATTGATGCCAACACTGCACTCGTGTCCTTCGTAAGATTTGGTGAATCACCCGCATCAAAATCTCAGATAATGAACTCTCTACTCGGCAATCAAACGCATCGAGTTTTCTTTCATAGATACTGCCGAGGCAGCAGCAGGAATGGTCAACTAATGAAAGGAGTTGCAGAGATCGCCTGGTATCTTCCAGGTGGGAAGGACGATGATGTATTTAATGACTGCATAGCATTCACTAATCTCCACGGAGATGCAAGAGAACACAAAACACAGGTGAAATTTTTACATGAGATTTCGTCTATAAATGTTATATTACTGTCAGATGGTGATCGCGATGAAGAAGGCAAACGTATCTTAGACGAATGTTTGAGTTCCCCAAAGCCGCTAATTTGCCTCTGTGCTGACAAAAGGAGAGTTTCCAGTGGAGTATCTGGAACAAACGCGAAAATTGCTGTCGAGAATCGAAATGAGGCTGAGTTAATCGATGAATTGACGTCAATAATCAAATTGTTTTTAGACAATTCAGAAAGAAAAATTAGCATCGAAGCTTTCTCAGCTATTGCAAGACAGCATAGCTGCATTGTTGATGAAGATGATAAACAATGTGAAGAGGGCAAGGGTATGGCGAAAGTTTTGCTGAGTCTTATAAGTGACAATCCACTGTGTTCCATAAAGGAGAAATTTTTGCCTCTTCAAGGGAAATTGTGGCAGTCGTGGTGCAAGAAAGACAAAGAATTGACTCGCATGATGGTAAGGGGGGGGCAAAGTGTTGAGGAATACAAAAGTAATATTTTAGGAGAAAAAACACGCATTAGGAAAGCACAGCTTGAAAAAGCATTTCCTCTTAACGAATTTATGAGATCATTGATTGAAAATTTGAACCATAAGTCATGCACAGTAAAAACATACTTTCTGCATTGGTTACGCATATACTTAGATTATATGTTTGCAGATCGCTTATCACAACTTCATCTCATTTATCATCAGGCCTGGATGGCAATAATAGCGTTGAAAAAACAATGTTTTAACACGAGTATCATTGCTATAAAGCAATCAGAGTTGGATAAAATATCAGAAGAACTTGATGCCTCTTCCTTTGGAATTGATCACGTTTTTAGGGAAGTTGGTCAGATCTATGAAGCTTCACAGACAATGCCATCAGTTAACAAACTCCCAGCTACTTTGCCCAAGATTGCTGCAGAAATGATGATCTCTGGATTTCCTCTTGAACTCATGGATGGTGATGCTGTACATGTCCCTCTCATTTGGATTAGCTCAATCTTGGACAGAATCATTGATGAAATTGGGAACGTGAAGCTGTTTGTTATCTCAATACTGGGAATACAGAGCAGTGGGAAGTCCACGCTACTCAATGCCATGTTTGGTCTCCAGTTTCCTGTTGGCAGTAGGAGATGCACCCGAGGGGCCTACATGCAGTTAGTGAAGGTGGAGGCAGAGTTCAGTAAACAGCTGGGATATGACTTTGTGTTGATAGTCGACACAGAAGGACTGCGTTCTGTAGAGCTGTCAAATACAACACATAGTCATGACAATGAGCTGGCGACGTTTGTGATTGGGCTGGGAAACATGACCGTGATCAACATTTTTGGAGAGAACCCTTCTGAAATGCAAGACATTCTACAAATTGCTGTGCAGGCGTTTCTGAAAATGAGGCAGGTGAAGTTATCACCGAGCTGTGTGTTTGTCCACCAAAACGTAGGAGAAGTGAATGCACACCATAAGAACATGGAGGGAAGGAGACGCTTTCAGGAGAAACTCGATGAGATGACCCGCATAGCTGCAGAGCAGGAGCAGTGCGCTGTTGCATCATTTGACGCAGTGATCAGGTTTGACGTGAACTTTCAGATCCGTTACTTTGCTCATCTTTGGGAGGGAGACCCTCCGATGGCTCCGCCAAATCCAAGCTACTGCCAAAATGTTAAAGACCTTAAAGAAATGTTACTTAGAAATGCGACAAAAGAAAAAACAATCAACGTCTTGAAAATATCAGAATTCAAAGCACGCATTAAGAATCTATGGACGGCTTTGCTCGCAAAAAACTTCTTTTCTAGCTTTAAGAACACAATAGAGATCGCAGCTTATACCAAACTGGAAGAAATGTATGGAAAATGGACTTGGGAACTCAGGAGTCATGTTCTTCAGCAGGAAAACAAACTCTATAACAGCATTGATAACAATACAGATACAATGACACGATTACAGATTGAACGAAGAATTTTGTCAAACTATCAGGATATTAAAAAGAAAATGGAAGAACATTTCAATAGCGCAGATGATGCAGAATTCTTGGTTCAATGGAAAGTTAAATTCGAAAAAGGATTTGAAACAGTGAAAGAAGAGCTATTGTCTGATGCTTACAAAAACTAATCTGTCCTGATGGCTCTAAAAAACAAAAAAAGAAATCTCGATCTTCAGAGATCAAGTTACGAAGATCAACTTATTAGAAAGAGCAAGGATTTGGCTTCAAAATTGAGAGAAAAAAATGTTAATGAAGCAGTATGGGACTGGGCTTTTCATGAAATCTGGAAGGATTGGATTAAAGTTATAAAAGACGGTATGACCAGCCCTGCAACGCTTGATGTAAAACAAGAAATTGAAAACCTTATTTACAAAGTTCATGCGAATCAAATTCAACACCTAGAAACAGTGATATGGAACTATCACACAGGGACAGAATTTGACATTAAACAAAACGAACACATGATGAACCCGAAATGGCTTAGATATCTGAGTCACCATTTCAAAGATAAGAATACTAAGTCAATTAAAGAACTAATTATTGAGATAAAATTAAATGTCAATAGATGCATTGCCACCCAAGAGAAACATAAAACTAATTTCAACCCATCCTACATATATGCAATTTTAGAGGTAATGAATTCAGACATACAGAAATTTTCACAATCCAATGAAAAATGTAAGCTCACAGATAAGTTCAAAATTGATTTATCTGTCCACATATTGGCAGAGGTTACGGGGCGATTTCAGAAAATGCATGAGAATTTCCAGAGGGAAAACGATCCATTAGTATACTTCACCAGTAAGAAAGAAAAATACTTCGACAGCTTCAAAATCCGCTGCCAAGGCGCAACGTCCACAACTATTTTTGTGGATTTTTTGTGTAACAAACTGAAAACATCCATTCAACAGGCAGTTTATGATAACGTTTGTGTTAACATTGCAGGCAGGATGAAGTCCACATTCCTGGCATTCAACGGAAATCGATCAAAATTAGAAAACTACATTCTCATAGATTTAGCGAAGAAGAAAGATTTTAAAGCATTTGATGAATATATTCACCATCCAAAAAAACACTTTCAGAAATACATTACGGAACGTGTAGAAGAGTATTGCAAGGGAAACGATAATGAAATAATCCATGAGATGTTAAAGTCAAGTCTTGAGGATTACACAGCTGCAATTACTCATGCAATTAATAAAGCAACTGAAATGGTACAAAACAACGAGTATGATGCATCTTCATGGCTGGATACATTTTGCACACAGCTTGATGACGTCATCAAGCTCCCAAGACACACTTTGGACCAAGGCGACTGCAGCGAAATAACCGATATTGGATTTCTTAAAGAAGAATTAACAAAAGGACTAAAAACCGTGGTTGAAGGATTAAAAGATACATTTTCTTCAACATGCTTAAATGATTTGAAACACGTTCATAACAAACCTTATGAAATACTATTTCGGCAGCTATGTGGGTGCTGGGTGCAGTGCCCGTTGTGTAAAGCCATCTGCACAAACACGATGTCCAATCATGACGGAGACCACTGTTTTCCTTCACCGCCCCAGGGCAGTGAGTGGAGGACATTGGCATGAAACTGATCACTTTGTCATCGACATCTGCACTAGTTTAGTTGCCAGTAACTGCAACATATTTTCTCCAGACAGAAAAATACCATGGAAGGATTATCGTACAGCCGGGCCAGAATATGCTTGTTGGAGCATAACACCAGACTTAACCACACAACCATATTGGAAATGGTTTGTCTGCAAGTTCAAGTCAGACTTAGAAAAGCGCTATAACCTAAAATTTGCGGCGCTGGGAAAAATCCCATCAGATTGGGAATGTATTAAAGAAGATGATGTTATTGAGGATTTAGAGAAACTGTAGTTTGATTAATAAAACTACAAATGAGCATCCTATGTCACAGATGAACTTATGAATACGTGGCTCTGTTTCAAAGTATGCAGATTTAAAATTGGTATGTTATTAATAATAACAACGAACACAAGTCATCATCAAACAGCATAATCTCTAAAATGGCATGGCATTTAACGATCGTTACATGCATGCATATGTACATACATTTAACTTGAGACATTGTGGATGTTATAGTAAACTGATCATCTACATTAGACGTGAACATTTTCGCGCAAAATAAATATATGCATCTTTTAAGTAATTCATAAAGAAATATCTACTGTACAATCATTTTCAATGTGTTTATTCCTCTATACCCCTGTTTTATTTAAACGTGCATTTTGTTTGTGATGCACTTCAAATGTAAATACAAAATTAATAATAGAAATGTCAATGAAAGTGGTAAATTACACATCAGCTAACTACGTGCTTAATATTAAATTGTGTTTCTACTTTAACATTTGTAATTTAAATCTAAAATCAATATTGCATGTTTTAATGGTAAGTTTGTGCTTCAAGTTCCCACAAATACTCACCAGCCTTGCGCTTTCTTCCTCATGTTGGTGTCGGACCCCTATTTCATGAGGCAGAGGATTCTCCTCTGTGTACTGTCTTCTCGAGCTTTAATCAGCTGCCCATCCCCTCTAATGAATGCCCAAGACTGGTATTTTGCCTCTCACGATCGTTCCTTTCAAACTTTTATGTTCATCCAAAATTGCTTCAGCATGAGCATAATAATATATTTCCATGGGATAGCATATGGCCATTTGAAGTCAAATGCAAAGCTGAAAAGTTCTAATATTATCAAGTATTCTGTTCTCAGCATGGATATCTGCCAAATATAACATTTAAGTAAATGTTGAAACATCTTTACCAGTAACTTCTTCTTTGCTGCTTATTTCCCTTTTCAGCAGCAATTCTGTCTTGCTGAATGCCATTTTCCCATTAAAATAATGATATCACCATTACGCACAATTACTTTCGTTTGCTCTCCAATTAAACGTTCAGACCCTATCAATAATACATATCTGAGTAAATACAACACAATTTCAGCAAACCTCAGGGTACTGTAAATCCATAATGGCAACAAATGCTTCCAATGACTGGAAAGGCACCACATGGGACACACAAATTAGCTGGGTTTACAAGGCTCATTTAATTTACTAAATTAAAGAACATTGTACTGTCAGAACTGCAAATGTAAACAACAGAAACAGAAGAAAGCTCTTGAGACTGTTAGGAAACTAATCAAATAGAACCAGTCAAGAAAATCAGCAACATAAGAAATGTTTAGCAACTTCTTTGCAAATAGTAACACAAATTTACGCGATCTAACCCAAAAAACCTCTATTATGGAAGATATTTGTCGCGAAAGCATACGTGTTAAACTGAGTAACACAAACAGGCAGCCAATATGACTCCCTACAATATCAATGTTGCTGAAATGATGTGCTTCCAAAATGTCGTGTCGCTGATGGGATGTGAAAAAACATTTGTTGAATGGTCATGTTGAGGTTCAGATATTGGAGAGATGTGTATTGTGACCCTATTGATTTTAAAACGTTTATTCGATTAATGATGTTATGATACAAAGTAGACAATTGACAGTAAGGTTGGCAGCATGCTGTGAAATATCTGTCTAAGACCAGAGGAACTTATTAACCACATTTTCTAGGGCACAGTCGACGTTAAGAGAGGTTGGCCAATGATCAACATCGTGCCTAAGACGTAAATATAAAATGCATACATGTAGATCACAAGAGACTGATGAAGGTGGAATCGGTTGATACATTACTGGCACACCTACATCATTACAAGTTAAATAAACAAAACTCACATTCGTAGTTCAACCCTTATGCACTCTTTATTACTGACCTCTGTTTGTGCTATGAAAAAGTGCCGTTATCACAAATAATCTGTTTTATATATATAAAAATGTGTATTTGTGGCAGTGCTATTGCTTTATTAAGCTGAACGTTTAGTAGCTGATGATAATGACGATAACAACATTTTCATACGTGGACATATAATAGCACAGGTTGGTAAATGTTAAGAAATAATAACAGTTTTGCATACAATCAATACAATTTCTTCGTTTGATGCATCGAAGTCAATATGATGTATGACTTGAGGGGAGGACTTGTGCATTAGAATGTTTTTAGGTGATATCCAGATAAGCGTATTAGCAAATATTGTCCACGCTGCCTACTCATCTTCCTTTCCTCCAGATCCATTGTATGTTATTGCAAGGTCTACATTATTTTTAACACCACAATTCGCATAGCATGAATATGGTTTTACAAAGGAAAAAACTGCATATTAAGTGTGACATATCATAAATATCAATGGACAAAAGCAAACAACTTTAAAATGTAAATGCTGAGTGTAAGCCGGATCAACAAAACGACAAATTCAGAGGTCCTATAAATACCAACGAATAGGCTGAGATCAATAAGTAGAACAACCCATCATCATCTGGGCATTGTTTGGAATCCAGGCTGCAGGAAGACCTCACTTTGAAGGGATATGGAAGGCGATGAAGAATACGACATAGATGGATTCATAAAAGCAACGAATAAAAGTGGCATCATTGCTGACGAATGCTTCAGAAGAGTAGAGGAGAGGAAATATCAAGTTCTACAACTGCCAACCGCTTCCAAAGACATCACAAATAATTGACTTTTCACATAATTATTTTACACGAAGCTTCATATTTTACATTAACAACTTTAAGTTACTTACGTCCATTGCCAATTTGGTCATTGTAAATAAGGTGCGTGAGCAATTGGGAGTCGTTCTGGAATTTGAGTTGTTATTTTTGATCGCATGCAACTTCATATATACATGAAAATTATACTATCTGAATACAATACAGGAATATATTGCACATCTTTAAGTCATATTTGCGAAGTGGAGTGTTGGCATAGTGCTTTGCTATCTGCCATATGATATTTGTTATCTGTGTATTTTTGGGGAATAAGAATCTGATTTAAATAATATGGTTGGTATTCCAACAACCAATGAACTAAGGATTGTTTGGATGTCGCATTTTTTTGTTAAGCTAATCTTTATTGTGTAATGTTTATAATGCTTAAGGGGTAACAGTTATTTTGATTAATTAATACTTGTTTGTATGTTCCGGAGCATGAGCATGATATAGTGGCTGCGCGACTAGATAGACAACATATCAGTTTAAGAT